CATGCTCTTTAAAACATTTTCCTCCCTCCTTTGTCCTCCTCCTCCCCCTCCTTCATCAACTCTAACAGCTGATGACTTTGCCACATTCTTCATTAATAAAATTACAAACCTCAGTGCACAATTTGCCACACCACAAACCATCAAACACATGCTACCAGCAAACATACACTCATTTTCATCCTTCTCTCCACTCTCTGAGGCAGAAGTCCCTAGACTCATCCTTTCCAATCATCCTACTACTTGTCCGCTTGATCCGGTTTCCCTTCTACCTTTCATTGCAACAACACTTGAACGAGTTATGTTCAACCAAGTCTCAGTCTTTCTCACACAGAACAACCTCCTGGACAGCAACCAATCTGGCTTCAGAAGTGGCCATTCGACCGAGACTGCCTTGCTTTCAGTTGTTGAAGCCCTAAGACTGGCAAGAGTGGCTTCCAAATCTTCTATACTTATTTTGCTGGATCTGTCTGCTGCTTTTGATACGGTGAACCACCAGATTCTCCTGTCAACCCTATTGGAAAATGGCATCTCAGGAACCGCACGCCAGTTGTTTGAGTCTTACCTCTCAGATAGATCATTTAAGGTATCTTGGAGAGGTGAGGTGTCCAAGTCGCAACATCTAGCTACTGGGGTGCCTCAGAGCTCAGTTATTGGATCACTTCTCTTCTCTGTCTACATGACATCACTAGGTTCTGTCATTCAGAAACATGGCTTTTCAGATCACTGTTATGCTGAACACACTCAACTCTACCTCTCATTCCATCCTGATGATCCGACAATAGCTGCTCACATCTCAGCATGTCTAACAGACATTTCTTGTTGGATGACACACCATCATCTTCAACTCAACCTGGCTAAGACAGAACTGCTTGTGGTTTCAACAAACCCATCACTTTATCATTTTCATCATCCAGTTAGGCTCATCAACCATAACTCCTTCAAAAACAGCTAGACACCTTGGAGTTGTGATTGATGATAAGCTGAATTTCTCAGACCACATTGCTAAAACTGCCCGGTCCTGCAGATTTGCTTTATACAACATTAGGAAGATCAGGCCCTTTCTTTCAGAACATGCAACACAATTCCTTGTTCAAGCTCTTGTTCTATCCAGGCTGGACTATTGCAATGCTCTCTTGGCAGGTCTTCCAGCCACTTCTATCAAACCTCTACAATTAATCCAAAACGCCACTGCAAGATTAATCTTTATTGAGCCGAAAAGAACACATGTCACACCTCGGTTCAACAATTTGCACTGACTACCAGTAGCTGCTTACATTAAATTCAAGGCATTGTTTGCCTACAAAACCACCACTGGCTCTGCACCCATTTACCTAAATTCATTACTTCAGACTTATGTGCCCTCTAGAAGCTTGCGTTTTTGCAAGTGAATGGCGTATTATTGTGCCATTTCAAAGAGGCACAAAATCACTTTTCAAAAATAGCCACCAAATGTAACCCTTACAAATGTAAGGGTTCTACAAACTAGTCTACACTGAATCTCAGACATTGTATAAGGGATTTATTTGAGCACTAGAAAAATACAATAAGAATATTTTGCGTAATAAAAAGAAAAAGGGAAGAGGAAAAAAAAAACGCTTTTCCAGACATACAGCATTCACACTGATTGCTGGTCATACGGTCAGTAATCACATGCTGGTCATACAGATGGTAATGAAGAAACCGGAGAGGGTGCTACCGTGCCCCAAGAGAGTGCTGTATTTAGAAGGTGAGGAAGTAGAAAGGGTGAGATCCGTCTCCAACCCAACTTCTCAAAGCCAGATGACAATTTCATAATTTAATTCCTCAGAATTACATGCAGCCAAACAACCAGACAAGTGAAACACGGTCTGGACGTTAAGCTGAATATTATAATAATATATGCAATTTGAAAGAATTGTGAATAATAACTTGCAAACACATTTACACTGTTGCACGTGGTCGGAGGAAAGAGAGAGAAAGGGAATATCCCATCTGCTCACAGTTTCCCCCGGCATTATTTTGTTGCAGACCCATAATGCCATAAGATCCGAGCTACTCAAGTCTAAATTGCATAAGACTTTCTTCCCTCAAGAATAAGTGCTAATGGGAGCAGAGCTATCCAGAGTGCACACTTGTACACGTTGGGACATTTATGCATGAACACATTCAGCCCCCTCAGGAGCTAACTGTGTGTGCTCCGCTCCCAAACAAACACAAAGATTGTGTGTATCCGCACTCGTAATGTTTAGTGCAGGCAGGGAAGAACACACGGTCTAAAGTGCTGCCTGTTTTTCTTGCTCGCCATATATAGGTGTGATTGTCCACTGGCACTGACAAACAACAGATATTTCAGACTGACACACAGAGCGCTTGCTGAAGACACAAAACCCAACGCTGTTTGTTTCAGATGCGCTTTTAAGCTTCACGTTCTCTACTTCACCCTGCCCGTGACGTCTCGCCATTCCACTGGACTGATTTCACATATGCGTCAGGACACGGTCATGCTGAGGCATTCCGAAAGTTTCTGATGCAGCTTGAGTTCCCTGAAGGGGAGCCATATGTAACGAATCAGCTCATGGGAAATATGAATAATTAATCATAACTAGTTATAATTAATTATGAATATTTTAGATCCGCTGTAGATATTTAGCTGACCTCTCAGGGTCAACTGTCTTGTCAATTCTAAGAACGTTAATTTCCTGGTTAAAGGAAATAACTTTCTTACTGTACAATTCTACAAAAGCTTGTAGCATAAATCTGCATGATTAAGTGACTCCAGTTATGAGCAAACAATGAACCACGTCAAGTGTGATACAAGTAAGGTTTTATTAACTACATAAACTAGTCTAACATCCTACATAAACTGGTCTAACATACACACACAGTTTGTATAGGAAAAGGTTAAAAGCTTAACACAGTAAAGAGAAGAGAAATAAGAATATGAAGTTATAGAACCATTTGCATATTCTGCAGATCTGCCCGAGGGAAACATCAGATTCTTATTTCAAACACACCTTTGTAAAAAGGTGCAAATGATACCTAATTAATAAGACTAAGTTTGATACTTGCATGTCTCATCTGTCTGAAAGAGAGGTTTGATGTAATCTGAAGTTTCCAGTTGATCTTTGCTGAAGTTGGTCAAAGAAAAGAACCAGTTTTGAGTCAAAGGACCTTGATGAATGGAAAGGACAAGGCCGAAGCCTGGCACAAGCTTAGGATGTTCTGGAGCGTCTTATCGAAACCTAACAGAACCACCGACTGGGTGGGTCCCTGGAGCGGGGCCTTTAAGGTCGGAGAAGATCCCCGCCTCTCAAGATGGGGTTGTCCAATGAGAAAGATGGAAATTCCAAGTGGGAGGTGGCAATTGCTGGAGGGTTTTACGACCCTTTGTCTCTAAGCATGGTAATTTGCAAATGGACTTGAATCGAAATTACTAAAGATTCTCAGGACCCTAATATATATTGCCTATGTACCAACATATAATAGACACGCTTGTTTCGATCATAAGGCGGCAATTTCATAGATACTAAACAAGGTAGGATTACTTATAGTGAAAGGATGACAGGAATGGGTTCCCTCATAAGCATGCCTAAAATAGTCTAAAAATATCAAAGACAAAATACACGATGACAATAATATACCCAATGACCTGAAGGATCATGTGTGTTCATTCAAAGAAAGGTTTTCCTATTAATTAATTAACAAAGAAAAGTCCTTCCCTTGTGGATTTTCCTTATGGGCAAGGAAGCGATTTTCTTCACCTAAATTCCAGGAGGTCATAAATGTATCGGGTGTCAGGGTTGCCATGGAACCAGGGGCCTGTTCGGCTTCCTGGGGTGTTACAGAGTATTTGTTAAATCTAGCTAACAAATATATATATTGTGTGTTTGAGTGGTCCAGACGCTACACATATATATTATTTGGTGTAAATGTATGTCAATACATGAAATTGTTAATTTCTAATAGGCGTCTCATATTGCTGTCAATATAGGTATATTTAGAATTTATATGAGCATATTTCATATATGTACATATATTACATTTGCGTATGGGTGTGCTGATGTAAGTATCCCATATAATTCTGCATGTATGTTGTAGAGCTTGAAATTATGAATTTTCTAATCAGCGATTTGTCTTACCTCTTTCCCTGGCCTGCGTCTCAAACTGTCTGGGTTAAACTTGTTAACGTGGAGGACATGGATGGCACATTTAATGCTCAGATGATGGAGTTGACTGGTGACTTTCAGGAACAAGAGATCATTCTGTGAGAAAAGAACATCAGTTTCTAAAGGGTTGAAATATGTTCATTTGAAAAACATTGCATTTTTAACACAAGGGTAGAGGTAACTTTTGGTCTTACCACTGTTAGATACTGTAGCATGCGGCCATCAACCTTGCTTTCATAGAACTGATCTTTGTACTGTGGTAAACCAATGTCATCAAGCCAACCTGCAGATGGAAATGGGGCAGTGGAAACAATTTGGCAAAATGCATGCACTTATTTTAATACTGTCAATACTGCAATGCCATGTAATGATTATGACTCTGATGCAGACTTTCATACACAGAACTAAAGCCTAAAACCTAAATGACTCCTTTTTGCTGCATGGCAAGCAGTAGTATTTCCTTCAGGAAGTGAAAATATAGCTATTTTATTAATATAAGTACATACGTGTAACCCAGATGTGATCCAGTTCTGAAGATTTCTCCATTGTCTTGTTACTAAAAGCTCTGAGAGCCAGTTGCAGCTTTTTTCTGTGCAGAGGATGTTTAATACAAATCTCCTGTTGAAAACAAAGCATTAGTCACTGGAACTGTTTCAGTGAGACTTTCATGCACACCGGTACATGTTTTGTGGTTGATTTTAGATTTTAAATGGCATGTAAAAAAACAAAAAATAAATAATTAAAAAAAATAAATAAATAAATAAATAAAAAAAACTATGGTTGATCATTTTTTCAAGATTTATTCTCTTGCGTGCAAATATTTTCCAAACGGTTTACATGCAGATTACCCTGTTACTATTATAATCCATAGTGACAGGCCAACTTAGACAGCTACATAACCAAAATATAAAACAATACTAATAAGAATAAACCTTCTCAAGTTCCTGTGGAGTGGCAGAGAGAAGGGTTTGTCCGCTGTCCACCCACTGACGCGCCAAACTAACATACTGCCCCAAACCACTGTCCTCCAGCCAACCACACACCTGCTCCGTTGTCCACTTAGAGAAAGATGTGTGTGCCCTAATGATGAGAAGATTATAACATCATTAGAGCAATAACAGTTATTTATCCGTTATAAGGAGGTGGTATCCCTCCGAAGTCCTCTGCATCTCTGGCCCTGTCGGTTCATGAAGGGAACTTTACCGGGATGAGCGTCCAGAATCAGGGGCCCGTGTTAGCCGAGGCCCAGCTGTGGCCCTGAAGCCTCCTCTCTTGAACTGAATGGGCTCAATGTCATCTGACAGCACACCTGGCCTCTTCATCCTCAAAACAAACACACCCTGTCAGATGCTTGGTTTACACTGGTTTCACACAGAAACAGGGAAGATTTTCATAATTTAATGTTGCAATTGCCCTTGGTCATAATTAACTCACTTTCCCCAAAGTCTGCGTATGCTGCTATTTTTGAAGTTTTCTTGGAACATAGGAGACTGATGGCCGGAGGTGACTCCTGAAGGCACTGAAAAAAGATCAGAATCGGTTATGTCCTTCATTTTCTCTGTAAATCCTGTGGGACATGTTCCAATAGAAGTTAATGCTTATTGTTGAGTGGCAAGTACCATAAACCGCAACAATGCTATTTTTGGTTTAAAATATTTTCAAGGAAAGAGAAAAACAAGGCATTGTAAAGAGGAAACTCAACTATCACAGGTTCACTATACAATATTATTCCTTTGAGGTAGGGTTACTTTTTAAAAAAAAGGACAAACTTAGTTATTCATTACTGACAAAATATCTGTTGTGCATATCTTGAACGAGCGATAATAGCATGTGTTCAAAGACTTGAAATATTTGTGCACAGACAAGTGATTCTAATCCCATGTCAACATCTGTAACGTTTAAGTGAAGTGTTATGGTTATTATTTCGTAATAGTGTAATAATTGGATATTAAATTGCAGTACGGCATGCCAGACCGCTATGGCTTTAATTGAAAGAACATTACTTTTTTTTTCCATTCCTTTTTACAAACAGAGAGATGGATTTTTTTTTCCTGCAGCAATACAGAACCATAGTAGTGGTGAATTGAAAAAATAAATAAATATATATATATATATACACACATATACACACACACACACATACACATACACACTGGAATATTCCTTTAAATACAAAGTGTCTTTTTAATTTCAACACGGTGAGTAAAAATTATAAAAATAAAAGGAGGGAGAGATTTTATTGTGGCATTCGGCCCTATTGCACTGTTTTAGTTTTAGCTATGATTTACACATATGGAATGTACATGCAATTACTAAAGACAAAGAACTCTCTGTGTGTGTTTTTTTTTTTGTCTTCTGTACTCTTAGTTGAAAGCAGCTGTGCTAATGGAGCAGCAGCAGAGACTAACAGAGCAGGTTTTCATAGGCCAGTCTCCAGTCTCTCTGCCTGTCAAAGCATGTTTGGGCATCTGGCAATGATTTAACTCTCTCAAGTCAAGCTTCAGTTACAGGGTGTGTCCTGAACAACAGGGTCCTGAACAACCCATATGATAGCACTGGCTCCTGATGAAGACCCTTTCATTAGAATCCATCAAAGGCACAGGGTTTTAGGAATAGTAGAAGTGGTTTTGCACCAAAATAGGGGCGGATGAAAGACTACAAATATACATTCTAGTCACATACACACAAAAAACAACTTCAAAATTAACTACCTAAAATAGGTTTCGAGGCATAGTACCAGCTCTTATAAAAGTTACATTAAAAAAAAAGTCTAAATAGTTGGTCACTTCACATGTCATTTAGATGGACTTTTTCTAAGTCAGTTTCCAAGTCACCAATATGGACCTGACTTTATGCCAATAGTCAAATTATGCAAGATCATCTGTTCCCTGACAATTACCTCCATCTTCAACAGATAAATACTAAATTATTACGATAGGCTTAAAAGAATCAGCAGTGACTTCAACAGGACAAGATATTGTGAAAGGGTCTCATACTAAGGTTGCTGTCTTCCTCCTTGTTTTCTGGTCTCCTCTGGTCTGATGTCTCATTCATCTCACGCTCTCTCTTCTCTGGGTGACTCAACACAGTTGGGAGTGTCAGATGTCTGTTATCAGCTGGTCGAGTCTATAAAAACAGGTGAGAAGTGAAGTGTAGGTAATGCCGGCTGCTGCAGACATGTTTAATCTTCAAAAGTCTCCAATTATAGCATCAGCATTACACCACTGCCAATAACAACATGGCCATGATTTTGTCACGAACACAGTGTTTGGAAACAGGCAGGCTGACGAAGACGACAAAGAACTCCAATAATCACTTTACTTTAGCCACACCAGGTAAAATCCAGCACACATGAGGTAACATTCACAACAATCGACAAACTCGAACACAATAGACAGGAACTGATATAGGGCGGATAATGAGGGGCAGACAGGTGAGCACAATGAGGTGATTAACTAATAATGAGAACAGGAACAACCAAATATGGACACAGAGGGAGAAACCACAATCAACAGTCCACAGGGGTGTGACAGATTTCAGTTACCAACTTCTTCCGTTTTAATTCAACTAGAATATTAAGAGTAAATATAATGATGACAGATTAATAACTTAAGATCATGATTTCTATACCTCGTCTGAAAGAACAGGCTCTACCAGTTTCCCACCAACAGTCTAAAAAAAAAAGAGTGCATCACTGGAAAGAACCTTAGCTTATCACCATAATTTATGATTTTATAAACTCTGTGCAAACCACACACACAAACCATTAAGAAATAATTATGTATCAACAGCTAAACAACTGTAAATAAATTAGATTGTTTGTTTGGTCAAACCTTTTGTGCTGAACTGCCTTTAAAGTCTTCCATACTGATGGACCTGAGGAAAACAGTGTTAATATTTATGTCACATGTAATTTTCATGTTGAAATGAGGATGTACAGAGGCTGTTACCTGGAGTTTGCATCTTTCTGAGAAGAAACTGAAGGCAGCAGTAGAGGAGTTGAGCTACTAAAGGTCAACTTTACCAGAGACAAAAAGAAAAAAAAAAATCAGAAATGGTTTAGGAAATTATGAATCAGAGCCAGCAGTCACTTACACTCATGCCCCCTCCCCACCTACACACGCACACACACACATACCTCAGAGTGAGATTTGTGTGTTAAAATCTTTACAGTCCCTTTCTGCTTTCCATCTTCGCTGCTGATCTGTACTGATTTGTCTTCAGGGCCTGTGGAAGACATCCGTTATACATATATAATTATGCTACAGCTACCTGGAATTTGGTATTTTAACACCTGATGTTATCATAACTCCCTACAAGTACGATTTAATTTGATTATAATGTAATAATTTAATTTTGATTTAATCCCATTGGCATTTCCAACAACAACAAAAAAAACATTATTTATTTAATAATCTGTTCAAACCTGACTAGCAAAATATTTATCACTTGACTTTGAATATAAATGAGCTCTCTAAAAATGGTTTTGATGGGTATATGACCTCTGCCTGCCTGATAAAACAGGCAAAAAAATAATAATTAGAATTTACCTTGAACTAAAGTCAATATGTCATTCATCTGTCTGAACTGGCTGAGGAGGAGAGTGAGCTCTTCTATTCGACGATCCTGAAAAAAATTATATTGATAACCCACAAAAAGAAACCGAATAATACATTTTGAGATCAAATGGCACACAAGTCAGTCTCTGCCACAGGCACTGTAAGCTGTAAGTCCAAGTATTTGGCACATGTCTAGGGAAACTGGTTCTGGCTTCAGTTCCACAGACATTCTACACACTTAAGTCCATAAACACAGGGCAGTGTGAGGAAATATATATATATATATATATATATATATATATTTATATATATAATTCAAATATTCGTTTGTTTAAATGATGTTAAACGAGAAAGACAACGATTTCTGAACAAGCTTATGATTAGGCATTATACACCACAATTTTCTACTACAACGTTACGTTATATCGCAATGTTTTCTTTTAGTAGATATATATATATATATATTTATATTTATATACACCTACCTTTTCATGATTTGCGGCAATAAGTGTATCCATTCCTGTATTTAACCTTTGTAGCTCCTGATCTGTTGACAAAGACAAAAAAATAAATGAAATAGAGAAACAATTATATATCTATGTGAAATATGGCAAAGCCATGCACAAAACTATTCAAGATCTGCAACATTGTTTACAAAGTATAGTAACTACAGTCTGGATTTCATAAACCTCACAAATCTTTATGATCTACTACCCTGAAAATAATTAAAATTTACAGACATGGAAAACAGGAATTACACTGATCTTACACTTTTCCAAGGAAACTTAAGTGGAGCTATAAATGGTTAGGACTTCATTTTAAAGTCACCAGCTCACAAGATGCTCACACAGGCACGAGTTTATAGGGTCACATAGAACAATGAGACAAGAGAGATCTTACACAATCAAATGCAGAAATGGGTTTTATGTGCACAGATTAATTCTGCATTAATATTTCTAGCAATTTGTGTGAGGATTTGTAATATAAACATGCTTATGTTTGGTGTTGAGTCTCCTTCTGTAGGCTATATCTCCTCTAATGTTGAGTGAATGGTAGTAAGGAAAAAATAACCATTGCTACCACAACACACAGTAAACACATAAGGCAATGACTAATAACTGCTGTTAACATTAGTAATTGAACAATATGTATTTTTCAAAGGCTAATACCAAAATCTAAAGAGCAGGGCAGCTAATGGCCAGTGTAATGCAAATAAAATGTAAAGGTTAAGTGTGTAATTTCTGTGCCACTATAACGGCGTCAAAGGGAATAATAAGAATAATGACTATATGCACCTGAAATCGTGTACTAAGTATGTACCACATTTGATGAAGAACTTCTTTCTCGACCAGGATGTTCTATAAAGTTTACAACATCAGCCACGCTTTTCAGAACCTCACGGAAGCAATAATCCGCTTAGGTAAGTTTTACTTACTTTTTACTTATTTTTGGACATGCTATCATACTGCTATTGACACATAGTACTGTATGTAACTAACAACATCCGTATGCAGAGACTGCATGTAAAACTGAATGCATTTGGAACGTATGCATTCCCTGAACTCTCTCACTGCCTGTAATTAGTTGGCAAACAACTGGTTTAGAAATTTTAAAAAAGCAGAACTAATACTTTTTCTTACTTCACACAGTTATGGGACAAATATCTCAAATATACATATCGGCCTATCACTAATTAACATGCATTAACATGCACAACTATTTAGACACAGCTTTTGAAAATCACAAAGATCTAATTCAGGACAGGCCTTTAGATGGATCTGAGAGAAAAAGCAGTACCTCTTTTTGCGCTGTCTACAGACAGTGGAGCTCTGGAGAGCAGCTGAGCCTGTATACTCTCTATCTCAGAGTTCTTACAGCTCAACAGCTGTTGTAAACTCATGATCTCTGCCTGAGAAAGAAGAAACACTTCATTATGATATAGCCAAAATGACTATAATTTAGCTTCTAATGTAGCTAAATTCGTACAAAAGCCAAAAGTATGAATTTAGCTACATTGGAAGATTGTCTGTGAACAACTTTGGGCCAAAATGTGGGCCTTTGTGATTCTTAAGTGAGGACATAGAGGACACAAAGACTTATGAATCACATTTGTGTGGCAGTACCTGTGTCACCTTGAGCTTCTGTTCGTACTGCATCTTCTCCTGTTCCAGCTCATTAACTCGATGCTTAAGCATCTTGACCTCCTGATGCAGGTTCTGTGTAATAATGCACCCACCAAAATAATGTTCCCATGTTAAAAAGATATCAGCATATTTTTAAGTAAATATTTTAAAATGCATTGTATTGTATATACTTTCTATATAGCTTTTCCCACTGAAGGGTACCATGGTAAAAAAAAACCTGCATAAATACTAATCTACCACAATTATGATGCATTACTGTAATACATCATTGTTACTATGGTCAGTTTAGGCAGGGTTGTCCTATCCTGTTCCTGGAGAAATACCTTCCAGCTGCCATGTGTATGTTCTGTTCTATTTTGATTTTGTTCTAGTTTTCCTTGTTCCTGTGTTTGACCCATTTTCTTTTGTTCCCATTTCCCCACCACTGGTTAGAGTCTGTGGATTAGTTCACACCTGTTTCTGTTCAACCTGATTAGTTCTCTGTGTATTTAAGCTCTGTGTTTGGTCCAGTTTAGTTGTCTGTTATTGTTGCATTCTACTTGTTTGTTTCATGCATCCTGAGTTTTGTTTAATTAATTTTAATACTGCTGTGAATAGATCCAGCTTCAATTATTACATTTTGCAACAGAATAACGTACCAAATTACAATGTATCTAGCAGCAAAGAGAATCCTCCTCCTCTCACAGGGTAACCAGTCTCTAGAAAGGCACACACAGGACTTTTTGGACCTTTGTCATCTTGTCCCTTATGATGATGACTGCATGTGTGTGTTATTCCGGACAAGTCTCAACGCAAAAAAACAAGATTGCACTTGCCTAGAAACAAGGCTCTAGGGACTTTCATGGAGTACATGGAGTGAGTGCTCCTCCACCATGGTTCCCTCTTCGCCATCTGTGACTGTGAGGAGGAGGTTAGCACTCCAGCCACTGCCAGCAGCCCAGCTTGAGTCCACCACAGAACATGAGCCTGAACCTGCCGTCTGTGTCACCAAGCACCATACAGCTAGAGTCTGTGTTTCCACCCTGCCCTGAATCTCCTGTGTCTTTGTTGTTTCCGCCCAGCCCTGAATCTCCTGTTTGTCTGCTGATTCCTCTCAGCCCTGAAACTCCTGTGTCTCTGCTGGTTCTGTTCTGGAGTGTCTATACTGTGGCTCCACCTCAGTCCTCCGAGCCCTGGACACCACCGTAGCCTTCCGACCCTTCAGTTCCTCCTTGGCTCCACGCTCCCTTGACTCCACCAGGTCCAATCAGTCTTTGGACTCCACCAGTCTCCCTCGTCCCTCCGGCTCCACCTTGGTCAGACATCGACCTGCTTCCACCATGGTCTTCCACTTCTCTTGCTACACATTGTTCATCCATGCCTCTGGTTCCGTTGGGCTCCTCCTTCCCTCTGGCTGCACCTTGGTCCTCACTCCCTTTGGCTCCACCCTGGACTGCCAAGCCCCGTCTCCACCATGGTCACACTAGCCTGCGGCTGCACCTCGTCACTCCAGGCTTCCACTTTCACCCCGGGTCTATGTCTTCTCAGCTTCTTCTGGGTCTCTAACTCCTTTGGCTCCGTCTCAGTCTGTAGTCTTCATGGTTCTGCCTGGAAAAGCTCCACCATGGCTCCTCCCTCCCTTGACTCTACAGTGGGCCTGCGTCCTGGCTCTTATGGTGCTCTTCCACTGCATGGTACGGCACGGCACAGGTCACTTTGGAGGGGGTTTCCACTGCACACACTACCTGGTACCTGGTACTTTTTTTCAGTACCACCTTGGCCGAGGTTCCAAGCGAGCTGTACCATTACCAAAATGTGACGTTTAAACCCTGCTGATCACTGATTTGTCGGTGAGAATCGCCACTAGCTGTGTCATTGAACACAAGACACTAGACCCGCTAGATTAAATCAGCACAGCCAGCAAAGATTGAACACAACTTTTTTTGAACGAAGGCAAGAGTTTCGAACGAGCACATTTTTTTAAACAACAAAATAATGGCTGTTTCGTGGTCTGTTGAGGAAGTACAGATGTTCCTCTCATTGATAGCCGAGGAGCGGCTCCAGAGAGAGCTTGATGGGACGATGCAGAATGAAAAGGTTTTTCAGGAGGTCGCAGCAGTAGAGGCGGCGCAACTATAAAGACATGTCTATAACCCCGTCCACAGTCTAAAGCGGTACTAAACTGCAGTGGAAACACAAACTGAGCTGAGCCGTACCATGCAGTGGAAAAGTGCCATTATGCTCGGGGTTCCTACCTGGCTTTTTCCACCTTCGACTCCTCCCTGGCTCCTCCTGCCTCTGCTTCCATCCTGGCTCCTCCTTCCATCATCTCCTCTGTGGTGGTTCCCTCAGCCAGCCTCCCCTTGGTCATGCTTCTCGCCAACTCCACGTCCACCACCTAAGCCCACACCCTAACTCCTTTTTTGGACTTTAGTTTTTTCTACGGCTCGAGAATGCACCTTTTGGAAGGGGGGATAATGTCACATGTACGTCCTTGTTCCTGTGATTGACCCAGTTTATTTTGTTCCCATTTACCGCCACTTGTTAGTTTCTATAGTTTCGGAGTAGTTCACACCTGTTTCTGTTCACCATGATTAGTTCTCTGTGTATTTAAGCCTTGTGTTTGATTCAGTTGAGTTGTCCATTATTGTTGCATTCTTTTTGGTTGTTATGTCCTGTGTTTCATGCATCATGAGTTCTTTTTTTTTAAATACATTTTTATATTGCTGCAAATAGATCCTGCTTCAACTACTACTTTTGCAACCAGGTGTGGCACTGGCAGATTCTAGATCCAACCCTGCATCTACACACATGTCTTAATTAGCTGGTTCAGGTGTGTTTGATTACAGTTGGGCTGGAGCTGAACTTTGCAGGAAGGTGGATCTTCAGGAACAGGATTGGGCACCATTGTGTTAAACAATAGAAAGGGTTAAACAATATAATTTGTTTTCAAGCAATTTAAACATAACCACATCCCAGACAGATGACAGGTTCTGAAATAAAAGTGACATTCAAATCTTCATAAAGAAATACGTTTATGCACTACCAATCATTCCAGACCCACCCTGAACTTCTTAAGCAATTATATATTCTGCTGCATAAGCTCATTTCAGCCTTTCTGAAGTGCTTTATGTAATCCCAGTAAGATCTTTGCACAAATGCAACATCTGAAAAACATTTAATTCCAAATTCCATTCTAAATATGTACAACATGTTCAAATGGTCAAACATAAATGGAAAAATAGTTCCAGAACAAAAGCTCAGTAAAAGTGGGTGGTCACTGATGAGCTGTATTAGAGCTCATGTTAAACTAACATTATACAAAGAAATTTTAATTCTTACACTTTATTTTGATAGTCCTCTTTTGACATTCTACTAAATATAAGTGATTATATGTCAACTAACTCTGTTTAGAGTATTAGTAGACTATTAGGTTAGGGATATGTACTTGCAAAGTTACTTACAGTTAGTAGAATGTCTGTTGAGGGACCATCAACATAAAGTTTTAGCAGATATTAAGCAGACTGTCTACTAATACTCATATTGACTGGTAGTTGACATGAAGTGTTATAGTGAGCAGAATGTCTAAAATGGGCTGTCAAAAAAGTGTTACAAATTTGGACATCAATTCATAAGCACAGGGAATATTTTTGAAGATTTACAGATTGTTACTTTAAACCTGTCAGATCCAAGGGGTGCCTACACTTTCTATTCCACAGTGACCACAGTTTCACAGTGTTTAAGTGTGTCCAGATCTCAGACCCACCGCTGGCTTTGGCTCAGTCACAGAGGCAAGCGCTGGCTCACTGCCACAACCTTCCTCTGGGGCCATCTCCGCTGGCTTCTCTTGGATCTTACTAGAGATCTCCTGCCGAATCCTACACATCTGCTCCTGTAGCTCGCTAATCAGATTCACTACACTCTGTCAGAAAGGAATAGCGATAGGGAAGAACAGATCAAAGAAGGCAAGAGAAAATGGAAATAATGGATTATGGGAAGCAGACATGAAGTGGTCTCCTTCCTATCTGTGTTCTTGAGCTTACTTCAATAATTAGATTATAAAATCACCTTTGTGTTTTCTAGATGTAAGTCCTGATATATCCTTTCCTCAAGTGCTTTTCTTTCCCCAACCATTATCAATCATGCATAGCAAAATTATATAATATGAATAATAACTATCAGTCAGTGTTATTACACATCAACTCTAATGTTTATTACCACTACAAACATCAGGTTCATAGTTTAAATATAAGTGTTAATGTATTTTGCTGAATGGAACTTTCACATACAGTGATGGGAAGACTGTCTGCATGAGGTATCAATTCATTAACTCTTCAAGCAAAGAAACTCATACTAGTTTAAAAGAATATAACAACATAAATGTGTCTAAATGTCCCATTAAAAACAAAAGGTAACACTTTATTTTAGTAACCAATTCTCACTATTAACTTCCTTATTAGCATGCAGCATACTAGCACATCGGCTGTTTATTAGTACTTATAAAGCACATATTAATGCCTTATTCTGTATGACCATATTTTAGATCCCTTAATCCTACTCCATACTTACATTTACGGTAGTTGTTACTTTACTAACTATTAATAAGCATCAAATTAGAAAGTTATTGAGGCAAAAGCCATATTAGTTAGTTAATAGTGAGAATTGGTCCCCGAACTAAAGTGTGACCAATCAAATCATTTTATAAACTTTATAAATATACTTTTTTTATTATTATTATTTACAATGTACTCAATAACCAAAACTATTAAAAACGTATGCATAATCACGAGATTATGCATAACTAGAAATAGTTTTTCATTCTGCTTTTCCAGGTCACTGGGTTGGTTTAATACAATGGAACATTTCAGGATCATTCATGAACATCATTCAACAGCCCATCTACAAGCCTTTAAACAAACCACAATGGGCTTTCTGAAATATTATTTTAGAAGAGTAAGTATCTCACTGACATTTCACACAAGCCAATGTCTCAACTGTAAGAGCTTTGTTAAAGAGCCAAGTAAATACATTTATTTTCCAGGATATATGGTATGGGTAAACAAACCAGCTTCCAATGCATCATCTGTGTATTAATCTTTATAAACATATCAAGTTAACTCAAAATGTAATGCATAAAGCTGTCATTAGCTGAGGAAGTTGGATTTTCTGTGTGAACCAAAATGGCTTCATAACTTTTAGTATGTCAGGCACAAAAAGCTGTGACAAAAATAACCGTAACTGCAAAGACAGGGATGAAGTTTATAAAATATATAAAGTTTATAAAATTAAATTAAACTGTCAAACACAGCTTCCTGTAGCATCTTTAACAGTAAAGGAGCCTGTGTTCTAATAAGAGTTTAAAAGTTAATAGTTGTATACTGTGTCCAGCACGTGGATGAAAGAACATTCATGTGAGATGCCATGTGACACCAACACCATGGTAAACTGACCTATCTATAGCAGGTAGAAAGCCAAGGCCTTGTGTGTGTGTGTGTGTGTGTGTGTGTGTGTGTGTGTGTAAGAGAGAGAGAGAGAATGGCATGCCACTTGAATGCTCATGGGTGAATTGGTGCCATTCTTTCACTGTGTGAAGCCCAGCAGTTGTCAGACATCATGCTGAGGTCATTCTTAACACTCTATGCTAAAAACACTCTAGCTGTTTGTCAGTTAGACTAGACTGCTCAAGACCATTACACTGAAATGTGTTCTGCTTGTATTTAATGAGGCCCATTATGGTTAAATGAAAGGTGCACAGCCACACAAACACATGCAGCTTATGTCAGCACATCGTAATGTCAGAGGAAAGGTATATTTTAGATCAACCAGTTCTGTCCCACAGTAGTCACTCTGAACATAGTAATTACATGAAAATAGCACACTGTAAATTAAGACACAAATTATTTGACATAAGTCCAAATACTTATACAGGCTTTCACAAGCACTATTTTGTACCAGTAGCCTTTTGTTTTACATTTAATTTCTTTATAGTAGAGTTTACAAGACTTTGTTTGCAAGATGAAGTGATTCAAAACACTCATTTTCACTGTTTTTAATACAACAGTGTTGTCTGGATAGGTTTGTTTTTATATTCCACTTTATGTATTGATAGACTTAAGAAGTTTTTTTGTTTTCTTTGCATGTGAAAATAGGTCACATCATTTCATTTCACTGCCACCCTGTTCTCTAAATCAGTATCAGCATTGGGCATTAAAATTCCCATTTATGTGGTAAAAGTGGTATAGATTTTGAACCTTTGCAATTCACAAAGTTCTATATATATGTTATATATATATATATATATATAATTATATATACAGCACACACCCACTGATTAGTAAGCTTCGGGGATAAGACACTGATTCAGTGACAAAAATAAAATAAAATAAATAAATAACAAAAATGTTGTGAGACACAAATTATAATGTTCATAATGTAACCAAGCTATGTTCTTACTTTATACTGCATCTTTTAATCTACTTTGAGTGAATTCAGAATCTGCTGAGTTTTATCTTAAATTTCATCAGAGTGTTACCTCAGCTTTATGTTGTCTCTCAGCACTGTTGATGTGTTTCTCCTCCATGCTCCCCAGCTTCAGTTTTAGACAGGACACTTCTTCCATTAATCCCAGCTTCTGTGACTCTAGAGAACTCCTGTTCAGAAGCTCCTATGAGAGTCCACACAAATATACATGTAAACACACACGCATGCACACACATAAGAGAAACAAAGGAACTGCACTCTTAAGGAGGCACAAACTCTGCTGTTCCACAATGGCTAAATATACATAGGTTATGAGGGCTATATTTAGCCATTTCTCTTGCAGAGGCTGACACATGAGAGAGAGCTTGAGAGTTCTGATCATGGTGGGAAAAGTGCATTACATTTGAGTATAGTAAATAGAAAGGGTGTTAAAATGCAGTGATTGAACATATCATGTTACGTCAAATTTCCAATCGATGCAAAAAACTAAAACGAAAGACATTTTTTTGGCACATGTTTGGCACAACATACCTGTGTGAAACAATATTTCCCCAAATGAAGATGATGAAATGCAAATGCATATCAACCCTAAGTAATGATCACTTGAATGCTTGCCTGAAACATGCCACCAGCAGCTGCAGCCCTGATTACAATAGACTGGCTGAATTGTTTCATTGCAAATCAACTGAATAAGTGGTTGATTTCTTGCTATAAAACTGAGCACTTTTTGCTGTAAAAATAAATAAATAATAAAAGCAGCATCTTGCCTTCTTTGATCTTGATCGTTAAACTCAGACACTGAACAGGGATCTATTTCACAATACAGAAGCCCGAAAAACCATTTCAAAATGTAAGTAGCTAGTGCTGAGTTTTATGTGAGCTTTGAGTCTTTCAAAGACGGCATATGGAAAATATTAGGCCCATGTCACTGGAATTGGATTTGCCTTTGAAGGCCAAAACCTCAGTGACCACCGGCACATGCCCTAAAAAGCTTCCCATCTGAATGCTGGAGATTTAATCAACCATAGAGCTTTCAAAGCAAAGGCAAGTTAAACAGAAATATGCAATAAGCTTATGAAGAAAATTAGATTTACAAGCAGTGGAATGTGAATTTAGTCCTTGAAAATGGTATGAATAAGTACAGGAGTCTTGTCATGCCTTGAACAATCTTATTTTCATAAATGATCCTAATGTCTCTAGCAGGTCTACTGAAACACCAAAGCTTCAAGATTACTCTGCTTCACTCACTTACTTTTATACTACACTTTCTTTTTTTTTAGCTGGACACATGAATATTTATTTTACCTTTCCCCTCCTCCATCCTTGTTTGATTGATAACAGAAGAAAAAGCTGGTTACCTGCTTTCAACTAATTCAATGTCAATGTCCATGTCGATGCTGGCCCAGGAATACCACCGCTACTTAAATATTTGAGTTGCCAAGGTGATGTAATGGCCAGTTTCCTGGAATCCCACCAAAGAATTTCCACACAGATGCCAAAGTTCCTTCTCAGGCACATCAGGTGCAGATTTTTTTCTACTAATGTGAGATAGTTCCCTAGAGTAGCTATTAGATTAATTTAAAATAATTTAAAGTTTAAAGACCAAAACTAGAGCAACCAGATTTTTATATTTCCTGAATCAAAAATCTCAGAAGAATGTCCAATGTAAAGTCTCTATGGTATTCAGATCTCTAGACATTGCTCAGGTCCCTGAAAATAGACTAACTGTCACACCAACCCTTTTAATGCATGACTGCTCATTTACACATTTACCAAGCCTGTTAAGAAACCGGGCCTTCCCAGTTAGGGTGAAGCAATGTAAGCAGGTTTTAGGTTTTAAGCAGGTATGATAGTCCTAAACAGCAGATGACAATTATGTAAATGTGTAAATGTTTCAGTGCTCTTAATCATCGTTTGCTTTTTGAATCTGACATAGTCTGATGCAGACTTTGCAAAGAGGCAAATACTTTGATGTATTTAACACAATTCTTCATTGCTTGAAATAAGTTATTTTAAAAATATGAAAATCATCTCAATGTCTTTTTTTTGTTGTTAATAAATATTACCAATACCTGTTGAAGCCTCTCCTCAGTAGAGTTGAGCTTGTGCTGATATTCCCCAAGAGAATTTTCCAGGTCTCTGATCTTCTCTCCCTGAGCGTCCACCTGATTTGTCAACACACTCACCTAAGAAACAGGTTTAAATTAAGTTTGTTCATTTGAGGCATATCATCTTTGTCCACTATCCTTCTAAAGTTTATTCCAGGTCTGAGAGTAAAGTATAAATTACTCACAGTCTAATAACACTCATTATTCTATTGAGAGTTAGACTAAATTCACATATATACGTATATATATATATATAAACATTGCATTATTCAGAGATTCAAACAAATTAATCTATATTCTCGTCAACCCAGTTGATCAGGAAGCACCCACGTGTACTTGCTATCAAAAACCCAACAAGCCAGAACAGGACTAATCCGTAAAGCCCTGTCTGTGTCCATGAAACACTACAATTGTACTGGCTTGGCTATGCACACTTTTCAATTTTCTTCAATTATTTTATGCTAAAACTGAAAAGTTTCTACAAAATATCTTCATAAAAATGGACATTTATGAAAATGATGTTCAGTTTTGTGAGCAATTTGAACAGATCTGTATTCACAGGTAATATAAATAAATTTTTTATTCTTCTTATATTGCCCACATCAGATTCCAGAATTTGCAATATCTTCCATAGAACTATTATTACTGTAACTTAAAAGCAATTTGATGGATTTCAAGTGTCAGTAGTCAACAGGTGCAGATCACATCTGTAGTGATATAAATCTCAGTCCAAACATATGCTGATTGTGTAAAAATATATCAAAATAAAAAAATATATTTTTTGAAAGTATTAAGTTGATGCAGTAAGTGCTTTTAAGGAAGAACCGGCCATTGGATTTGATAAAGTGTGACAGGCTAGTAATATTAAATAATTTTTGTTCAAGGCACATAGTAGCAAGTCAATTAGATATACGTGAGCATAACTGTATATTTTGTCATGTCTGTTTATATCTGTTATATTTGTATAACCTGTTGTTTTCTTTTTTTTATGAATTCTTATTACAATGTCAGTATGTGATTTAGTGTTTTCTCTACAGCTAGTCATGACTGTGCAGTTACTGTATATATATATACTGTGTATATATATATATATATATATATATATATATATATTTAAACATTTAAATGTAATCAACATTTTAAATCCATAAATACAATGTTCTATAAACCTCAAAGGATTCATAGTATGTTTCTAAAAAGTTTACATTTCAGAGGCTGTCAATGCTGATAATGTACAGTAGTTCTTATTAAAAAAAGATTACATTGGCATCATACAATTTTGATGTTTAAGCTATTTATTGAAAAATTCATACTGTCTAGATGCACCTTAACAAATTGTAACAAATTGCCCCCATGTTTTACCTGTAACACAAGAGACTCTTTATCTCCTTCTAGACGAGACAATCGCTCCTGGTAGCTCTCACCATTGCCTGAGCCTTGCACATTGACCTGTGGTTCACAGTAGGTTAGAGATTTGACAATCAACAGAGAAGAAAGTGAAACACCATAAATCTTGAAGCGTGAGGCCCTCAGCTACCATTGAAAATGCATACAGTAACTGGCTGTGTATAGTTTCTCAACATCCTGTATGATACCATTTCTATTAAATATGTCACAGCACTTTAGCAAAACTTCACTATACCCAGCTCACCTAGGGTTTTAGAGGAATTTCTTAAGAGGTTTATTTTGATAATAAGATTTTTGTGCACAAGCTCCATGCAGTTAAAGCTGAGACTCTGTGGAATATGTCAGTGATGTGTGAAATACTGTACTAACAAGATTTGCATCTGAATATCTGCTCTAAGCAATAATGTAAAACAGTCAGTGGTCTCCATTACGTCAAAGAAAACTTAAAAGAACAAGAATGGTTGTTTTGATGTTTAATTAAATGTGTGTTGTTTTATGCATGTTCACAGTCATTTAAATATGTTCTTAAATACAATGTGTGTTTGCATCATATAGGTATAAAGGCAAGAGAAAGCTGTAAAAAATAGTATGCTTTGAACAGAGACCTAAAAGAGACTTCAGTTTAAGCAATTATACTACTGCAAATCTTCTAATCTGATTCTATTTCAAGAGTCCTGATTTTTGAAAACACCGGAAAAATTCACTATTTATGTCACTTCAGTTTGGTTTGTTTGTAGTATTCCAGACCAGGGTATTTAAGTGACCCGCCCCCGCCCCTCCCAAGCCCGTGAAGCGCCAGAGCAGGCGGCATCCCTGAGACGGGCGACCCGGAGCTCTTGGATCCTGCTCTTCAGGAGATGGTGACTGCACCACTCCTTCCCCCGGAGGAGGGCCAGGTAGAGAATCTTATGTTCCCGTTTGCTTTTGTTCCGCCACTGGCTACCCAGCCAGTGGTACCCAAAACTTCAATAAAAGAGCAGTTTCCTTTGCCTCCGGGTCCCAAGAGGGCGAGGATGGCAGTCCACGAGACCCAGTCTCCACACGGCCGTCCCCCTCTGGCCCTAGTTTAGAAGAAACATTACGCCTTGCTTTTAGTTGCCGCTAGTTCGGTCGCTGGGGGCCTGGTTAGCGCTCCCCAGGCCGTCTCGCTGGCTCATGAGAACCATCAGACTCGGCTACGCGATTCAATTTGCCCGGCGCCCTCCCAAGTTCAGGGGCATTCGGTTCACCTCGGCATCAAGGATGCTCCTGTCTTGCGTGCAGAGATCGCGGTCCTGCTAACGAAGGACGCGATACAGCCGGTCCCTCCAGCCGAGATGAGGTCGGGTTTCTACAGCCCATACTTCATCGTACCCAAGAAAGGCGGTGGGTTACGACCGATCCTGGACCTGCGCATACTGAACCGGGCCCTTCACAAGCTCCCGTTCAGGATGTTGACGCAGAAACGCATCTTTCAATGCGTCCGTCCTTTCGATTGGTTCGCAGCGGTCGACCTCAAGGACGCATACTTTCATGTCTCGATTCTCCCTCGACACAGAACGTTTCTCTACTTTGTGCTCTTCTCGGCATGGAGCTGGACTCGGTCAACCTCTCAGCACGTCTCTCAGTAGAGCGTGCGCAGTCGATGCTGAACTGCCTGGGGTCCTTTCAGTGCAAGACGGCGGTTCCACTGAAACAATTTCAGAGGCTCCTGGGGCATATGGCATCCGCAGCCGCTGTCACGCCGCTCGGGTTGCTTCATATGAGAC